CCAACCACTGGATGAACACGTCACTTTCACTGTATATTGCTGCATGTATCTAGACCAACCACTGGATGAACACGTCACTTTCACTGTATATTGCTGTATATATCTAGACCAACTACTAGATGAACATGTCACTTTCACTGTATAATGCTGCATGTATCTAGACCAACTACTAGATGAACATGTCACTTTCATTGTATATTGCTGCATATATCTAGACCAACTACTAGATGAACATGTCACTTTCACTGTATATTGCTGCATGTATCTAGACCAACTACTAGATGAACATGTCACTTTCAATGTATATTGCTGCATGTATCTAGACCAACTACTAGATGAACATGTCACTTTCACTGTATATTGCTGCATGTATCTAGACCAACTAGGGGATGAACACATTACGTTCACTGTATATTGCTGTATATATCTAGACCAACTACTAGATGAACATGTCACTTTCACTGTATATATCTAGACCAACTACTAGATGAACATGTCACTTTCACTGTATATTGCTGTATGTATCTAGTCTAACTACTAGTTTGATATGTGGCACTTTAACTCTATAATTTATTTAATAATGGTGACTGAAAAATATTTATTAAAGTGAACCCTTTGCATTTTCAAACACACTAGAGTTTTATACACTGTTAAATTTAAATATGTTTGTATGATTGAAGAATTGTTTGTTCCTTTGATCAATTTTTTATAATACTTAATTTTATTTTGAAGTATCAGCTTTATACCACTGGATGAACAAAGTCTGAATTCTTGTTATACTATTTTATAACTGATACATCATGCAACTGTCAACTACTTGAAAGGGCACAAGTTTTGAGTTATTTGAAACACGCTTGACTTTTTTTTTGTGATCTTTTGTGCTGTGCCTTTCATCATGACTAGTTGTGTTATTTGGGTACTTAAACATATCACAATCTTTTACCTTCTTATTTTAATATCGTATTATTCTAAATTTATCAATTATTCTGTGTATGTGCAGTTTTTACATGTCACACTGTCAATAAAGTTGTTGTGTTGACTTTGTTCTATCTGCCTTTCTTTCTTTGTCATTCTCTGGAGATAACACCTTTTTTTGGATCATGAGAGATATGGCTGTAATGCAATGTATTGTGTAAGAATGTAGACAGCTGTGTCCTTCAGTGGTTATAACCTCCCTTATGTTTTAGTGGCATTGACCAACAGTGATAGAGGTGGTGCTTTATTTTTTAAAGGGACAGTATTATAGAATTTGGTATGTAATACTCTGATCTGATAATTAGTTTTTTGTGTCTCTTATTAGTGTGCTGAGCTGTGGATCTGAGGTTTTGTTGTTCATACCTTGTTAATAAAAAAAAAAGTTGTACTCCACACTCTGGGGATGGCTTTATAAGAGTGATGGCCAAATCTTATTATCCAAGTTGTGAAGCCCACAAGTAGATGGTGTTAACTATCTGCCTTCCTTTAGTCTGCTACTTCAAAATTAGAAATGACTAGCACAATTAGCCCTTGAATAGCTTTGTAAGAAATTCAACAAACAACAACTGCCTCTGTCATTCGTTAATCCTCAGTTTGTCTCTTTCTTTCTTTCTTGAACTAAGTCAAAGTCAGAGAACTCAGAATTACTTTATGGTAAATATCTTATTGAACATCCTATTATTAAGTAGATCTATCCTGTTGCTCAAAGGTTAACTCAGTTTTACTTGAATATACCACATCGTGATACTTCAAATACCAGAAAAAGATTTTAGTGGAAGTGGTAATTAATATGGATTGTCTTACAGGTGGTACTGTAATCCTCATGTTTGATCGTTCACTTGATATCACAAAACTGCAAGCATGCAACAGCTTTCTTATAGCAAAACCCCTTAATGTAAAATAAATAAAACTATTTAAAAATTATTTACAAATAGAAGTAGTACGGATTAGTTTCACATCTGCACTGATAGTAATCAG